GAGAGTGAGTGAGTGCTGCCTCCTGCACTCTGCAATGCCTGAGGTGCAGCTAAGAAGGGCCCAGCGGGAAGAGAAAGGAAGCAGGCACCACCGAAGGCTGTGCCAGCCTCTGATCGCCTACCCCAGCCGGCCTGCTGCTCAAAATAAATAAACCCCTAACTTGTCAAAGCCACAGATACACTTGATTTTATGCTTCTAGAGGACACTGAATTGAAAAATTTGTACATTTATCTTTCATTGTTTTTATTACTATAAATAAAATCTTATAGAGAGACATAGATTGCTCTATATACCATCGCTAAAAAGTGATAAAGATTTTTCTATACATTTCTAGGAAATGACTTCTTTTTCCCAATTACAAGATGTTTTAAAGTTTTCATACTTAAAGTAATATATGTAAGAAAGAACACAAAAAACATGAATATAAGCATATGTGTATACACAGACCTATACACATATGTTTATATTACTATGAAATCTGGATGAGCTAGAACTCAACTAATTTCAACCTCATGCTACTTTTAAAAGACTGACAAATGTAAAAAAAAAAGAAAATGGAGAAGCCACCAGGAATTTAAAACAATAATAATTACTTCTGAGCCCTTCCTAGGACCAGTTCTTATTCGCCAAATGTCCTGCCGCAGTCTGTGTGGTCAAATGAAGACACAGATGGAGGGAGAACACCAGAGAGCCACTCAGACTTCGAAAGAGCTTCTGTCATCTTACGCAAGGCACCAGTGCACATTACGTAAATGTTCATACATTAAAGAAAGACGGCCGTCAAAGGTTGACATGCAGAAAGCTCTGGCGATAAAACCTTGGCTTCTCAGAAAGTTCAATGAATGAGAACATAGCCTTGCTGCGACGCCGTTTCTAAGGAGGGATTTCCCACACCATATTTTACTATCCTATACAATGCTTCTTTCCTTTTCTCCAAGCATAAAAAGGTATGCTTAAGGATATTCAGACATTATGGGTGAAATGCCTCTTCCTCCCTGCTTTGCCCACACTCTACGATGGGTTTTAATTCCGCTTTCACAGAGCAGAGTGCCGCCTCTTACAGCGGGCCACACACATCATTCCATTTTGTACACAAAATAGTGCAGGGAGGGAAAGAACTGTAATAACCTCCACGTAGAAAGAGAGGCTGGAAGAAGGTAAAGGGTTTGTCCGGAGTCTCACGATCGGTCATTGGCAGAGTCAGACTAAAATACTGAGTTCCACGTCCTCGCCCTGTGCTCTTTCTAAGGCACTGGGTCAATTCAGGCCCTTCCCTGTGGGTGGAGTCAGGGCTGGCAACCCAGGGAGCTGGAATGGGCCCGCCCTGCACCGCTTGGCCCATGGCCGGCACATGCCGATTGTTACGTATTCGGAATATCGCCCCGTCGAAGTTGGGGCTTTCTAGTCTACAAATGCACCCTTTCCCCCCACCACCACTTTTTCTACCCGGTTTAGCCACTCTATTTTGTTTTCCTGTTGATTCATGAATTTCTTATCCCCAAACTATTACATTTTCTCTCGCTCCTTGAGATACAATTACAAATCACGGTCTCGTTGTTAACCTTTCTTCTTAGTCCCCACAAAGTTTTCTCTGTGCTCCAGGTCCACAATGAACCCCTCTCTTCGCAGGAGTTAGAGCATTTAGTGGGTATAAAGGGTGCTATATCTCATCTATGCCCACATCCTTCTACGGTTAAAGCTGTCAGAATGCTAACATCACACTTGCAAAAGATTAAAACCTACATTTACATTCCATTTCAATGATTTTAACATTAATCGCGATATTTGTTCCCTCCTGCAGTTACTAACCTGCTACCTGCTTTCTAACCTGAGAAGTCACAGAGACTGACATAAAGGTTAAGAAAAGGGTAGGGAGTAAAAAGGGTAATCTAGAAACACGGTTTTGTGAAAAGTAACAAAAATACTTAACCAGTTATTTATTAGGGAAAAAATCCCACATCGTAATAGGTTAACACCACTCAACTTCTAAGAACATAGTGTTCTCTCTTACTTGAATTTGTACAGAGGTAACCCATAAAATCTGCTTTAAAAGGGTTAGAGAATGATCCCATTTCGACGGCTTCGAGTCAGGTCTGCATCCTTCTGCAGCCATCACAGAACTCTGGTGCACATGGCACAGCCTTGCTTCCAGTCGGGTCTGAGCGCTCCTTGCCGAAGAACACGCAGTGTGGACGGGAGCCCAGGGGTTCTGGGATCAGACAGGCGTGAGTTTGAAGCCCGTAAGCAATCGCTGAAACTAGCTGAGCCTCAGTTTCCTCACCCATAAAACAGGGAAAACAGCGCCCATATCATAAGGCCACGGGGAACACGAAATACAATAATCCACGGAAGATTCCTGGTACCCAAACCACTGGAGCTCTTACTGAGACTCATTTAATATGAAGCAGAATTCTCATGAGTTTCCCAAAGAATGTGTCCTAAGGCATTCATCAATTTTTTTTTCAAAAAAAAAAATTATTAGTCAATATCTAAGAGAAGAGGCGAGGGAAACAAATACCATTTGTATAACTTTCCTACCCCCCCTGTACACGTCACTTCACACTTCTACCGTGAACTGGTCATACTTCCTCATTACACTGAAAGCTCCTCGGGCACTGGAAATACGTCTCATTTTGGGTCTTTCCAGAAGCAGCACAGTGCCCAGCACAGAATATGAACTTAACATGTATTTTGCTGTTTATCTTCGCGGTGGGTGACCACTACCACAAAAGCACAATCTCGGGGCTCTTGCTAGTGGATGTTGCCCCTTTGTGTAAGGCTCTGCCTGTGTTTTTGATGAAACAAATTTGTGTCAATCATATCCAGAAGTGGGATGGAAGGGAGATCCCAGTTTTCAAAGTAAAAGGAGGTAAAGACCAGCAAGAATATGAAAAACAATAGAGATATTCCTAGAGTCAAAGTATCACTTTAAAGATTACTTACTGTTTCGGAGGGAGAAATGTATCATTACAATGGAAAGACCCATCACCCACCAACTTAGCAGCGCTAATGAATGACCAGATGCATGTAATGCAAAACACGTAGCATCGCCCGTGAAGCGTTCCGACCAAAAATGTTTTCTCTGAGTCTAATCAAACCTGTAGACTGAACCTCCAGTATTCAAGAAATGTAGGGAATGGAGGGACCGGGCGACACCATAAGGAAATAATCAGATAAATCGAGAATATGGACGTTCCACAAATCAACTAGCCTTGTCCCTTCAAAAGCCTATGTGATAGATCAAAAAAAAAAAATAAAGTGGAGGCACTGGATCTAGATTATAAAATGCTAAAAAGCCAAATGCAGTGTGTGAGTGAATCCTGATTGGCATCTGGTTTGAAAAAAAAATATGTAAAAGACTATGAGGGACAATTGAGAATAATATTTGAATATGAACTGGATAGCTGATGATATTAGGGAATGGTTATTCACTTTCTTAGAACGTTAAAACTGCAGCCACGTAAAAGAAAGTCTTTAGTTTTAGAATCTATCTGCTGAAGCCTAGCAGTGTCTGCAATTACTTCCAAAGGGCCTAGCCCCACACTCCAAAACACACACACACACACACACACACACACACAAGCTGGTTCATAAAACAAAAATGAGAAATGAACGATTATTAAGTCTAGGTGGTGGATATACTGGTGTGCATTGTACTATTGCTTCTATTTTTTGTATGCTTTAAAGTTTGTCATAATAAATGCTAGAAAACATAGATGCAAAGTAATGAGCAAACTAATCATCTCTGCCATAAGCGAAAGTTTCTTTCTCTTGCATTTAGTAATAAAAAATGAATTAGAAAACTCTTGTGCTAATGCATGTGGGCCAGTTACAAGGGACTATAAGTGACTCAGACACCCTCCATAACAGATCCTAGGGACAGAAGTGGTACTAAAGAAAAGGCACAGCCCTCTTAATGGGGTATCATTTTCCCTGTCCTTTGAAACCTTCTTCCCACACCAAGGATCCTATCAGCACATGATAAATGCACATATTCACTTACTTATGATTTTTTTTATAATTAAAACATTTCATCTTCTTTTAGTTGAATTCCAATAGAGAAATACAGAAAACCAAATATCGATCACATCCAGTATGACTGCTATTCATCCTCTTCAAGAGTTCAAATCCATCTCTTAGAAGTCCAGTGTTGAAGGGGTGGTTATTCCAGGGAGGAGCTGACCATCACACATGTTTCTAGGAACTACATTTTCTTTCTGCTGCAGTGGCTGCCAGGCCTCACATGAGCACCCTGTACTTAACCCAAACACCCCCTGTCCACCGGAGCTGATTCACCCAAGTCAACTCAGCAAATCCAGGAGCCACTGCTTTACAGAAAATCATGATGGATTCTGCTCCCAAGTTCATGTAAATGAGGGTCTTCAACCAGCAATAAAAATAGCTTTGGAACAGCTTTACAACATGTAATGTTGCTTCTACATAAAGATAACCTAGTTGTAATGGTATCACTTTTTTTTTTTAAGTGATGCAGGAAATATGTAAGAAATACAGGTATGGAGGCAATAAAGCATGTTTTATGTAGCCTGGATACTCCGCCACAGCAGATGAAAGCACCAAATAATCCAAAACTTCACTCTACATACCAGCTACTTCTATTCCTTCCAGAACCTTTCTAGAAAGAAAGCTATTAGAAGATAAACCTGATAAATTAGAGCTTTTCCAAAGACAAGCGGCGAGAGAGAAAGAAGCATTATCTTATAGTCAAAAGTTTATATTACTTGGGAAAAGAATGTGAACTGTGAGTCTGAAAATTAGTTCAGAGAGCTCTCAACTATTCGATTCTCTCCTGAAGTAAAACACACCACCCTAAAGCCAAAACATAAAAACATAAATAAACCAAAACTCAATGCTTATAATATGTAAGTAATACTATATACATATATACATACATACCTATATCTAATTTCCAGGAAAATGTGAAAGAAAGTGTTTCCTTTTGATTGACTTCGAGCTTATTTGAGAGAACAGAACAGTCTTACCTAGGTACAGAGATGCGTTTTCTTTCTTGACATTGTCATCCAAGTAGGTTGGTCCCAGGGTATAAATAGGTGTGGAGCCCATTCCCACGAGAATCTGGGCGCAGATGAATAAAGCCACATAGACCCAGTGATTATTTCCTCCCGCATCCTTCAGGCAGTGGGGAGGCTCCAAGGTCACGGTGGAGTTTCCGTTCTGACACAGGCCCTCGTTGGAGGCAGAGGCGTTCAACTCTTGGATCTGGTAGGGAGGCGAGATGAAGTGAGGTAAGGCGAAGAGCGCAGCGCCGGCCGCGATGAGAAGTCCACCCACGGCCAGCCACAGGGGCCGCCGACCCCGGCCACCGAAGTAGCTGACGAACACCACCACCACCAGGCTGCCGATGTCAAAGCAGCTCACCAGCAGCCCCGACTCGGAACTCTTCAGACTGTAACGCCTTTCTATGGTGGTGATGACGCTGCTCAGGTACCCGGAGACCATTAAGGCCTGGATGAAGGTCAGGAAGCACATGCACACCAGGAAGCAACGAGAATCGGTGAGGACCACATAGAGGCACCTTCTCCCCTGGAGCATGGCCAAAGTGGAGGACACAGACATGGTTTTGCCGACGTCCACCCTGTGGTTACAGTCCGCAAGCCCCGCCATCTCTGCCGAAGTGGACGGGGCAGAGGGGCTGGGGGCCAATGGGCTCAGGCCTTGTTTCAACTCCTGGTGGCCCAAAGAATCTGTACAGCCTGGCTTGGCGCCTACACTCACGGAACTTAGATCTGGCCGACAGGAGGCTCTGTTCAGGACGGGTAAACTCTTCGACCTAAAGGTCTCCGGCTCGGACTCCTGTTGGACAGCTCCTACTGCGGCCCGGGCTTCCAGCTGCTCTCCCGCCTGGGGCTGCAGCCCAGCGCCTTCGTCCATGGCTCTTAGAATTCGGATACAATCGCCGATAGCACTCGAGGACTCCGGTGCTTTTCATCCACCGGCACGAGGGGCCAAAGCCGGGCCCGCGCAGTCGTGTCCACCAGGGACGGGGGCTGGGGGATACAGAGTCGCGCAGCAGGACATCCTCACCAGCGGGGAGGCGCCCAGGGCATCCTGATCGCAGAGGCGACCCCGAGGTTCCGCAGCCTCGTGCCCCGGGGGGCAGGGGTCCTCGCAGTCCTGCGATGAGCCCCGCTCGGGGTCCACCTGGGGGCGGTAGCTCGCAGAAGCCTTGCGCGTCCCGGGTGCATCCCCTCCGCCGCCGCCGCCGCCGCTGGGCCCACCGCCCGGAGCGAGAACGCCCCGTGCCCAGCGTGGGGGCACTTAGCACTGATGTCCACGCCGCATGCCGCCCGGCTCGCTGGGCCAGAGGCGTCCTGTCCTCACCGCCTGGGCTCGCGACACCCTCAGGCGCAAAGATGCCAACCTGCAAAGCAGAGAAAGGGCTATCATTGAAAGGCGGCTGCAGCTGGGGCTGGCATCACGGCGCTCCGGGGGCCGGCGCTGGGTGACTTGCACGGTCCCTAGTGGGACCTAAGGACAACGAGGAGCGAAGCCCCGGAGGAGAAAGAGGCTGCAGGCTGCAGCCTTTCGTGCGCAAACAATAAGCAGCAGGCGGTCGGCAGACACTCTCCCTCATTGTCTACCTCGGACCTACCCCGCCCCGCCCCTTTTGCCTTAAACGAAGCATCTGCTTTTTTATATGTTAATAATTATCAACCTGGTAGCTCTGACTCAGAGGCAGTGTCTTTTATTTGAGTGAACTAATTGCAACCTCTCGGTACTCCTACTCCATTACTCAAAATAGAAAATGCCCAAAAGAACAAAGGAAAGTTTGTTTTGTTTTTTTTTTTAACAAACACAAAGCATTCCCGGTCCCACTTTTCAAAACGAAAAGAAAAGAAAGGCGGAA